TAAGGAAGGCTGAGCGCCGAAGAATAGATTCTTTTGAATTATGGTGCTGGAGAAGACTATTGAGAGTCCCTTGGACTGCAAGAAGATCAAATCAGTCAATCCTAAAAGAAATCAACCCTGACTGTTCCCTGGAAGGACAGATGCAGAAGTTGAAATACTTTGCCCACCAAATGAGAAGGGAGCACTCACTGGAGAAGACCCTGATGCTGGGAAAGATTGAAGGTCAAAGAAGAAGGGGACGGCAAAGGATGAGATGGTTAGACAGTGTTATCGAGGCAACAAACATGAAATTAAGCAAACTCCAGAGCACGACGGAAGACAGGAGGGCCTGGCATGATGTGGTCCATGGGGTTGCAGAGAGTCTGACTCAACTGTGCGACTGAACAATAACAAAAACCATGAGAAAAGGTAAAATCAATGTGCTTACTTGTTTCTCAGGCTGATGTTCTCCGGTTTAAATACTTCTTGATAAGCTGCCTTGTTTCCAAGAATGAGATCCAGTCTATGCACTGCTTCTACCACCGCTCTACAAAAACACACACAAACAGAAGGGCAGAACAAAAACCATGAGAAAAGGTAAAATCAATGTGCTTACTTGTTTCTCAGGCTGATGTTCTCCGGTTTAAATACTTCTTGATAAGCTGCCTTGTTTCCAAGAATGAGATCCAGTCTATGCACTGCTTCTACCACCGCTCTACAAAAACACACACAAACAGAAGGGCAGAAGGCATTGAAGTCAGGAGGATATTGTTTTGGAAACTGCATGGGAATTCTATGCTGCCTTGATTACTCCTATCCCTAGCCATCAAAGGACTGTTTGAACATTCAAAGATTCACAATGGGCCACTCCCAAATTTAGTAATCCAAGAAAACCATGACTGTCTCCATAGATGAGAGATTCCAACATACTGCAGTGAAACACCCCAACCTAATTATCTTTAGTCACTCTCTCTGTATTTATTCCAGGATAAGAGGCAAGGCCCCTCATTTGCAAGCACTGCTCAGACCTTTGCGGATTCCTCCAAGCACTACCAGCCCCAAGGCGGCAAGGACCTAGCATATTCACCACCACCTGCTTACAGACAGCTGAAAATGCAGCACCTGACAAGGGCCTTTAACCCATGAATGGTTCTGCCAAAATAACATCTTGGCTATGAAGGTGTTTCTGGGCTTTTGGTTTTGTTACAAGGGACTGATTAACACAACAACCCTTATGGAATTTAATGTCATTATCTGAACGGTCAATCTCTAGGGAACAAAGATCCTCTCTCCAACTACTTGTAGCCAAATCCTGACTGGACAGTTTCATCTAAGCTGATTCTTCCTTTGCTTCCTCTGAACTGTGCCTTTCCATGATGGCTGAAGGAGATACCAGATGCTCACATGCTCTTACTGATGGAAACCAAAGGCAGCTTGGCACCATATACACAAGACTACTATTCATTGTAAGAATAAATTCTTGCCAGCCACTTTGAACTTGCCGTCACTGAGATATATTAGAATCTCTGCTCTATCATACATATGCATTAACTCCAAGTACAGTGTGTGAAAAGTGTTAACAGGGAGCATGCCCAAATTATGTCCCCTTCAGGTATGCATCTTTTGTTCAGCCTTCTAAAAGAAACATGCCCTGTAGGCCAAACTGAGCCTAGAAGCAAGAGAGAGCAGAGAACCACAGGGCAAGGCTGCAGGAAGACATAGGGGCCACATGTCCAGTATTTCACTCAGATGCCCAAGGAATAGTGTAGGCAAGGCTACTTGGAACCAGCAAATTCCTTTGGAGGCCTGGGTGGGGGTTAAAGAGACAATATGCATACAGTACATGCAAAACATGTGCAGGGAAAATACCGGGCAGTGAGTTAATCACCACTAATTCTGTGCCAGGGTAGAAGTGGACCTTTTCCACATCTCTAGGGAAGCCTAAGCACAGAATGGCAACAGCAAACGACCTTCACCATTTGGTATTTCCACCACACTTAACAGCAGCGTGACTTTGGGTTGCTTTTGGGTCTGGCTGATGCATTCTGACCTCTGATGCGGGGCTTGCTCATTGGAGAGAAACAAATTAGATGTCACAGTCTATTAAAAAAAAGACTCTGACATGGTGCTGCATGCCAAACTCTAGGGACCCATCCAAATACAAGCGCTTTGCCATCTTTTCTGCTTCCAGAACAGACTGCTCTAGTCTCAGGCCTGAGCCCATGCTAACCAGAGCATGTACTGCTTGCTCAGCCCAGGGTTCAACAGCCAGTCCAGTTACAGACTCACCAGATGAATTTGGTAAGAAGTTACTCTCTCTCACAGGCTTCAAACCCATTTCCTCCCCACCCCCCAAAGGCAAGCATCTGACCTGCACGATGATGCCTGATCCTAATGCTGTTCTATGGAAATGTCGGGAAGGGAAAAACCCATATCTGAGCTGAAATGTTGAAATAACAGGAGTCTTGCTGCACCTTAAAAATTAACAACAATTTTATTTCAGGATAACCTTTCAAGCCACATCAGACCCTCAGATGCGGTGGTCTACATTAGTGGGTGGAGAAACAGCATGGTGCAGTGGTCAGCGTATCAAAGTAGGATCTGGGAGACACGGGTTCAAATCCCCAGTATGACAAGGGAGCTTGCTGAGTGACCTTGGGCCAGCCACACACTCACACTGACCTACCTCACAGAGTCATTTTGAGAATAAAACAGGGAAGAGAAGAAAAATAAATAAACAGGGCTGTTGTATTGGCTAGCTCTCCACCTCTGTGTGTTACTGCTGCCATCACAGGCTGCTTCTCCTCACCCTCTTTGGCTCCTGCTACATACTCAGATAACTCACAGGTGACCCATAAGATGCAAGGTCCCTGTCCCATAATTCTCTATCAAGGGGAAAAGGAGAAATAAACCAAAGGAAGATGAGTCTCCAAAAGAAAGTTAGAATTACCGGAGGAAAAGGAGAAATAAACCAAAGGAAGATAAGTCTCCAAAAGAAAGTTAGAAAATTGAAAAAAAACAGGTAGAAATACCGAACCTTTACCAACACGTGGTGCAACGGTCAAAGTGTCAACCTAGAATCTGGGTGACCCAAGTTCAAATCCACACTCTACCACAACACTTGCTGTGTGGCCTTGGTCCAGTCACACTCAGCACAACACAACACAACCTAACTGGGTTGTTGTGAGAATAAAATGGTAGAAAAGAGAACAAAGTAAGCTGTCTTGGGCCCCATGGGAGAGGAAAGCAGGTATAACCTAAATAAATAAATGTTAAAGGAATCGGGCGGGGGGGGAGAGAAAGTCACGGATCCCCTTGCATCGGGGACCGCCTACCCTTTTGGGATAGCACCAACATTATGGGGAAAGGATAAAATGCCCACTTGGAATGGGTGCATGAGTGCACCATTACCATTTACTTCGGTCAAGGGAGACTGTGTTTTTTTGGGGGGGCGACTAGCGGGATGTACTCCACACTCCTCCACTATGCGTGCTGAAAGCAAGTAGAAACAGAGGGTGCATCTTCTCGCCCGAGAAGCCTCTCGCTTTTTCGGGGCTACGGAGAGACTGCGGGGAGGGAGACGGGAGCCCTGGGCGGCTCCTTGAATGCGGGATGCCCTACCTGAGTGAGGACGGGGAGAACAGACCGGCATAGGATGCGGGGACATGGCATTCTCTCTCCCCCCCCCTTCCGCTGCACCGCCTGCTCCGCCGCCTTCCCTTACTCACCGGTAGAGTCGCTTGGTGTGGAGGGCCTTGGCCTCAGGCTCTCCGCCGCCGCTTCCGCTGCCCTGGCTCATGGCGCCCGGCCTGGCCCTCTGGCTGCCTCTGAGGCTCTCTCAGCAGCAGCACCTGCCGCTCCAAGCCCGGCCCGCCCTGCAGCGCCGCTCCGCCCTCGGCGGCTGCTGCGGCTCCTGCCGCATCTCTCGCCGGACCAGCCCCGGCCGCCACCGGCCCCGCTCGGCCGCCATCGCGCCTTGCCTCTCTCCCCTCCCTCTTTGGCTCCTCCAGCGGCTGCGGCTGCTGCCCACCTCAGCCAACTCTCGCGAGGGTTCGCCTCAAAGTCTCGCGAGAACCGGGGCGCCCGCCTTGGCTACACGCACCACTCCCCACTACCGCAGCCGACTCCGGGCACCACCCCGTCCGAGCGCACGTTGTGACGTCAGACGCCGGCTGCAGGTAAGGGAAAGGGGACTCGGAGACTTCAGTTCGCGAGATCGTCTGGAATCGTCGCGAGAGTGTGACACAAAGAATGGTCGACCGCGGTTTGGCGCGCAAGATTTTGCCAGGACTAAAGTGAGGGCAACATGGCTGCTCCTCTGGTTTCAGACCGCATTCAAATAAACTTTATTAACAATTGTGCTGGCGGACGAGTTGGTTAAGCGTTGGGAATGAACGGAGTGAAAGACTATTCTATTCCCATGATTTTATGTATCATTTATTTAAAACATATACAACGATCTGTTTCTGTGTGTATATAGATCCTTCCCTCTGTTTTATTTTACCTATCACATATAGAATAATTCATATTTTTAATTATAAATATATGATGATGTTTAGCATTTATATAAACATTGTAGGGTGTTCAGTTTTCTTCATTTCTGCAGAATCCGTACAACATCCCTGTAAGGTAAGTCATGGTGCAATCCTAAACAGAGTTAAAGCCTTCTAAGATTGCTTGGGTTTAAAACTCTTGTGAAGGGAGCACTCTTTGGAGAAGACCCTAATGTTGGATAGATTGAAGGCAAAAGAAGAAGGACAACAAAGGATGAGATGGTTAGACAGTGTTATCGATGCAATGAACATGAAATTAAGCAAACTCCGGAGCACGATGGAAGACAGGAGGGCCTGGCATGATGTGGTCCATGTGGCTGCGAAGAGTCGGACTCGCTTGTGCAACTGAACAACAACAACAAAAACTCTTATGTACGATTGCAGTGTTCGTATTCACAGATCTTTGCTTTATGATGAGTCCAGCTGGAAAGGAACCAAAGCTCTTAAAATATCCTTCAGATAATTCCAATTTGGCAACTAAATTCAATTCAAAACTTTGTCATGAGTTAGATTTCATCTCTCATTAAGGGCAGTTTACATAATACCTACAATATGATACAACACAAAAGGTAAACGGGACAGGAAAAGGAAGTGATTCATATTACGTGAACCTCTGCGTAACTGTGTTACTGTTTAATTAAAAACAGTCCACCTTGTCAGAGTGAATTATTGCACCTATCCTCAAAATTATATTCAGTCTATTGGGTTTAATCCACCACGTCAGATGTGAAATGCCAGGCTACCTGATAAGAGGCAGGAGATGCAGTTCACAACTACTAGCCCTTTTTTGCCATCAAGTCACAGGTGTTGTTGTTGTTGTTCAGTCGCACAGTCGAAGTTGCGAGAAAGAGGATCTGGCTAAGAGAGTGGCTGCTTAAAAGCGCCAGTGAGAATTAAAATTCTCAAAGCCAGAGATCTTCTGAAGTGGCATGAAAGTGTAAGGATTGCGGCATTTACAGCTTGAAAGTAATAACAGCGACCCGGAAGGGAGGGAGAAGACTTGGAGAGCCGGAGAGGCGGAAACAGAAGAAGTTCCTCCAGAAACCCGGAGTTTAAAAGAAGCCAGCACGAAAAAAAAAACTGTTTTGAAAGCGTTTCTTGAAGAGACTATATTAACAGAGCATCATTTGATCACCACTAATATACTAACAAAGATAATATACTTAACTAGTTTGAAGAAAGAAGTTTGACAGCACACAGAAGAAG